AAATGGGCAAGATTGAGCGTGGGTAGGCAGTCATTACCCTAAAATTTTAGCCTCCTAGACTCCGTAGTTCTTGAGACACTAATTTACCCGTAAAAAAATTTCATAAGGCCGTACGTGTTACCCGCGGGTACGGGAAGGCTGGACTTGAATGGGCAAGGTTGAGCGTGGGTAGGGGGTCATAACCCTAAAATTTCAGCCTAGAGACTCCGTGGTTCCTGAGATATTAATTTATCTGTAAAAACGGGAAGGCTGACTTTAAATTTGCCGCGTCACCTGTTGGCGGGGAAAACTATACCAAAATTTCAGCCGCCTAGCCTTTGTGGTTCTCGAGTTCAGAGTGCGGGACAAAATGTGGGACACACACACATACACACACACGCACACACACAACCCCGTGAAAATATGCGTTTTGTAATGCTGTTACACAGCACAAAACGCATAAAAAAGGAAGGTAGGGAATGAGAATTGGAAAATCAGTAAAACTATTATAATGGTAAGAAATTTAATTTCAGCAACCAAGCACACCAGAATGAAAAAATTTTAGAAACAATTCTTCAGCGGGACAACGATCATGCGATCCATATGGCAGTTTCTTTCACAAACGGATCCCAACAGTACAAGGTGCTACAGCCCCGTCCATATCACATACGATCAACTGCACAGGAAGATGTGCTATGATGGAACCACTGTACAATCTGATCTTCTGACCAGTAATGCTACAATGCCACATTTTTCACCACTCGTCGAGCGTGACAGCTTCTTGATTATTAATTCCGGACCGCATTCATCCACACAATTCCAAAAAGCTGTTCAACAGGACCCTTCCATCACACTGGCGATCTCGTCAGAGATTTTTAAAATTACTTGACTGCCAATCAGCAGCCCGTTTTATCTATTTCTCATTACTGCCAGTCAAGCTCTTCCCGCCGTACACTGCCTTGATAATATTGTTTATGCTAGCCGGAACCCTAGTACTCCCAACTCGCCTATCACATAGAGACTAGCACAAATGGGCGCAGTGTATTACGAATACCAAAACTGTGAGCATTCACAGCAATCAAGTCGAAAATACTGGTAACTGTAAATCAAAAAGTTCTAAAATGTTTTAAAGATTCGCATTTTCTGGCGTGAAGTGAACGAACTGGAGATTCCGCCTTCGAATCAGTTCACTGTGACTCAATAAAGTCCAAAAGGAAACCGAATTTTTAGGCTAAGCGTATGCGCAGCCCAGCAAAATAGCTCTGTTCTGGGGCCCAGCAAAATGTCTTTCTTTCAAGATCTGTAGATGACGAGGACTGTTTCCGAGACTGATGTGCACTTGAGCGATAGTTAGAAAAAACCATTAAAATTACGAATGAAAATGGAGAAAAGTGCCAAGCCCGTGATAAAATGACCAGTCAAGGCTTACTTCCGGCACAGATAACTCCTGTAGTATTTACGTTTATGGAGTTAAAGCAGCGTAATTTGTGCTTGCGTGTTATTCTCACTGCGTACAACATTAAGAAACGAATTCTGAATTCAAAAAGCGCTCAATGATCAGCGGAACATCGTAGCGTACGGGACTGTCATAAAAAAGGAAAACGGGCGGTTCATCTAACTGAGAAAGACAGAATTCAATACCAGCTCAAACAGCAGAACGTCCTGTACGACAAAAAATACTGTGTGCACGTGATGGATTGCGGCCAGAACTACTAGAGATAAATCTGGCATAAATGCGTCCGCTCGCAAACCCTACCTAGCGGCTTTCAGACGAACAGGGCTACTCTTCGCTTAGATTCTGAAACCACGCTGCACTAAAGTTTCGCAGCTCACATCATCCAAATCACACATGTTTAAGGATGAAGAGAGAACGTATTCAGAAGTAGTCTCAAAATAAAATTGCAGCAGCGCTCTCCGCTGTAAACCGATTTTTGAATGAAAGATACTCCCATATATGTCAAAATAACCCCAAAAGCCTAGCAGCCATTTGTGTAGCAAGAGGCTCCTGTTACACATCAGTTTTTTTTTTTTTTTTCCAAAAAAGGGGGGCTAAGCAATAAAGGTGCAAAAAGCGTCCAAAAATAAGTAAGTTTTGCGAATTAAATGTAAAAATCGGTTAAAAACAGCAACTTCTTTCACTGCTCTCTCTCTCTCTCTCTCTACAAACTTACGTATTTGACGAACGAGTGAACCAGGAAGAAAATATAATACAAGTTTTCACTACGACCTCGAATCTTTCACGGTGATGTACTTGGCCACTATGCCAGAGTCTTACATGCGCCCACTGCGCAAGAATCAAACATACGCATGGCAAAGCTACTCCGAGCTTCTGCGGCCATACTGTGATGGGACGTACGGGGAGGAGACAACGAGCTTTGAATAGACTTCCCGAAATATCTATCGTTGGCCTGGAACAGCGTGCGTGCAACAACAAGGGCTCAATAAATCGCATAATCCTGCAAATCAGGGCTGGGGAAAGTTAAAAGTCGAGGGCAGCAGGGAAAGAGACCCCGTTTTGCCCCAGCTGAGGGTTTTCACAAACGTGCGAAAGCACTCCTCACACGGCACGTGCTTTGGTAAAATGCTGTACATTTGGGGCAGTTATGAGTGCTTCCATCCACACTCCGAAAATGGAACATTACACGGATATTGACAATTTTTGGAAATGAAGAACTGAAAATGAGCACAAATACTGAACCTCCAGAAATCTAAATGAAATTACCGGTCTAACAGCCGCAATCTGCTGACTGTTGCCCAGATACTGCGCAGTCGACATCACATAGCACTGCCCATTATGTACCAGCATGAGCGGTCCCGACTGAACAAAAATTATAAAAAGCTTAACGACTTATCAGAATCAAAAATTTTAGTTTCGGCATAATTTTGCACAATATCAGTGGCACACCGCTTTTCGTCCTCAGTAAATGATGATTTTCAATCAAAAAACTCAAGA